TTCTTAGAACGAAGTCGCTCGAGCTATTGAGTTGAGGGAGATAGTTACATCTCTCGGTCCAGCATACATAAAACTTGGGCAAGCATTGAGCATACGACCTGATATACTGTCTCCCAGTGCAATGACTGAACTGCAGAAGCTTTGTGACAAGGTGACAAGTGATATTTATATCTTGAAATTGAATTTTAATGATGAATTGCAGAATGTGTTGAAACTACTTCACTTCTGTGACGTGCCAGCATACCAAATATTTAAAGGCATCAACCTTATTCAGCTCCATCTCAATCTTCTTTTCATTATTGAGTTCAGTACATTCTTTCCAAATCTTGCCTCGATACTGATGGCAGCCTTAGCTTGTTATAGGTGCCATCTTTTCCAGATGATGTGGCTATGGCTCTAATAGAAGAAGAGCTCGGACAGCCGTGGTATAATGTCTATTCTGAACTTTCTCCTTCTCCGATTGCCGCTGGTAATCTAATCGATTTCATCTTTTTTATACCTTGTTTTCATATAAGGTCACATTGGTTCTGCTATATTATCTCTTGCTTTGGCTATGATTTTATATCATTGCTCTATCAGACCACTGAAGATCATTTACTTTCTTCTTGTATTGGAAATTAATCGCAGCATCACTCGGCCAGGTCTATAAAGGCCGGTTGAAAGAAAATGGGGATTTGGTAGCTGTGAAGGTACAGAGACCATTTGTTCTCGAGACTGTGACGATTGATTTGTTTATCATAAGAAATTTGGGTCTTGTTCTTCGCAAATTTCCCCAGGTACTAACTACACTATTTCTGTTCTGGTATTACCTTTGATGGATGTAATAATTTTATGCCATTGTGGGTTAAATGGCTTTCAGATATCTATTGATGTTGTTGGATTGGTTGACGAATGGGCTGCACGTTTCTTCGAGGAGCTTGATTATGTTAATGAAGGGGAAAATGGAACATTATTTGCTGAAATGATGAAGAAGGACCTACCTCAGGTAATTTTGCTGTAGCACTTGGATGAAAAAGAAATATTTATTTAGCAAAACTTTGTTCTAATTCAACAATATATAAAATTTCCCAGTTATACCCATTGCCCTCTGTTTTATAAAGGTAGTTGTGCCGAAGACATACAATAAATACACTGCAAGAAAGGTTCTTACGACTCAATGGATAGATGGAGAGAAACTGTCACAAAGTACTGAAAGTGATGTTGGAGAACTTGTGAATGTTGGAGTCATATGCTACCTGAAGCAGGTAATTATTGTTGTAATTAGCGCATCAAACTTATCACTTCTAGAACACAGATGCTTTATAATAATTCTACTTGTAAGTTGGGATGGGGATATAATCTGTCAGACTCAATGATTTGTTAGATACCTGTGTTGAACTTTGTCTAAATCACAGAAATATTCTAGAACTTTTTACCATGGAGGGGGTTTACTTTCAAGGATCACGATGCTTAAGTTTACCCTCTTCACTTCTCTCTTTAAATTGTTCTCTTGATGTTTAGTGTTTTGTTTTCTTTTCCTTTTTTTTTCAAAGTCCAGATATTATGCGTTTGAGCTTTTATGAGTTTTCCCCATAATGCGTCGACTAAGAGTTATGGTCAAACATGTTGACTACTTCAATTAAAGGTGCTTACAGAAGTACACTCCCATGCTAGGAAACATGGCATATTTGAAGGGAATTTTGGAAATTTAAATTGCAAACTGTAGATTATTGTACATGCCCACATGGACCTTGTGCTTATATTGTCTAGTTGTACTTTCTGTACGTTCTGAGTTCTATTAGTGTGCAATTTAGTGTTGAGATCAAATGCTGTGTTGTGGGAAGTTAAAAGAAGTGAACACCTTCATATGCTGAAGCATCAACTTCATAAAAAAATTAGGTACCTTAATAGCTAAAGCTAAGGCTTTGATGTCCGAGAGGTATAAAACAGTAAGCATGGTTTGTGATGTAGGGAAGCGTACGAATGGGAAGGATAAACGAGATATTCTCTTGATAACACCAATCAAATCTTATTTCATTATTTTTTCTAAAAAAAAAAAAAATCTTATTTCATTTAAAAATCAACTGAAGATAATAAAAAAAGGGGGAGTCTTTTATATAAGGCTCCTAAACCCTAACTCACCAAGACTAAACATAAATAACAAATAAATATTAAATGCTAATAATAATAGATACTAATTAAACTACTAAATATTCTAATACCAAAAATAATAGATATTATTCTGCATCATATCTTCATCAGTTTGGCTGAGCAGAGGTAGAAAAAAGAAAACAGAAACAAGGTTTCACAAGCAAAGAAATGTTGAACGATGTGTACCTCCATGAAAAGATATTACATGCTATGAGTGGATTTTGGATGTTGCTTATCAACATAGTCACACAGAAATTGTAAGTCATTGATATGACAACATTATGAAATAGGTTTTAAAAGTTTTCTTGTTATTGCTGATATCCTCTCTCTGAATTATTGATTGTGAAGGTTGAAATAGCTTGCATCCAGAAGTATTTAATCACATTTTAGGGAACTAAGGGAAAAAGAAGTTTGAATTCCTTAATGCAGACATGGTGAATGCAGCGACAGTTAATAGAAGCATAGGACCATTTGAAAAACGATGACAAAATACTGGAAATTTGAATTTGAGCATCGCATTATCAGGTTCTGAAAATGATGCATGAATACATAAATCAATTACTATCTAACTCGCTTCAACTTGAAATCACAGCTACTTGACACGGGGTTCTTCCATGCCGATCCACATCCAGGAAATTTAATTCGGACGCCTGAGGGGAAGCTGGCTATACTAGATTTTGGTAAGATTCTTAATGGATTGCCTTCTAGTTTTACATGACATGCAATAGTTTGTTATTAATAGCATTGACTCATACATTCAATATTTTCACCTATGTTAGACATCTCAAGACCAATTCTTTCCTCATGAAAATTTTTCGTACCATATATTATCTGCCCACTGTCGATCTTGTTGCCTTAAGTTTTATTCAAAATACTTTGCACTTCCCTATTTTGTTTTAGTTGCATGTTCTATTTGTGTTTGTTTTTCGATGATTCTTATGTTCTATTAACTGGTCAAAACATGGCAGGTTTGGTTACCAAATTGACAGATGATCAGAAATATGGCATGATTGAAGCCATTGCACACCTTATTCATCGAGATTATGGTGCTATCGTAAAAGACTTCGTTAAGCTTGGTTTTATTCCTGAAGGAGTTAATTTAGAACCCATTTTGCCTGTGTTGGCCAAGGTTTTCGATCAAGCACTTGAGGGTGGGGGAGCGAAGAATATCAACTTTCAGGAGTTGGCATCAGATTTAGCACAAATAACATTCGACTATCCTTTTAGAATACCGCCTTATTTCGCACTTATAATTAGAGCAATTGGGGTGCTGGAGGGAATAGCTTTGGTCGGGAATCCTGAATTTGCTATTGTGGATGAAGCCTATCCATATATTGCGCAGGTACATAGAAAAAGAGCATCTTGATATTTCTGATAATTGTGCGTTACTTGGTTGAAATTACCTAATAGTTTTTCAAGGTCCACAAACCTTTGAAGTGTTCCCCTCTAGTGTGATATTAGGCTTTTGTGAATAGCCCCTCTAAGCATTAGGTATGCACAAGGGAGAATTGTGTAGTATATCTTGAATCCTCATCTCCATGCATACAATGTATGGATATTTCGGACTTACTGTCCCAGCGACTACATATATTAGTGGTCATGATGGTATTAGAACTCCATTATCCATGAATGTGTTGAGCAAGTTAGTCTCCTTGTTCCACCTGAACTAGTGTTATCCCAGCCTATGGGGCAAAGTTCTTTGCCTCTGGTTTTAAGTAATTCTTCCATCTGGCGCTATGAAGGGGTTAATCTCTTTTTCCTTGTTCTATGTGGATTGCAGAGGCTACTAACTGATGAATCTCCGCGTCTAAGGTCTGCCTTACGTTACACGATATATGGGAAATCTGGAGTCTTTGATGCTGAAAGATTTATTGATGTCATGCAAGCATTTGAGAATTTCATTGATGCAGCAAAGAGTGGAGGTGGGGAAAATCTTAATGGAAGAATGGCTGAGCTTGGCATTTTACAAAATCGGACAAATAATTTGCTTCCGGGTTTTACACCGAGTGCTTCTCAAGCACAACCTATCCAAACAAGGGCGGCCTTGGGATTTTTACTATCTGACAAGGGAAACTTTTTCACGGAATTTCTGTTAGACGAGGTATATTTAATTTCCAGGAAAAAGGTCTGCTTATGTTTATCATCTATACTTGTTTACTGTGTTTTCGTATAACGTTTTGGCTGTGGATTATTAGATTTAGTTAACGTTTGTCGATCTGAAGTTAATGCGTCTAGTGCAGTCATTTCGTATTGCTTGAAAGGAAATCAGGACAAAACTAAAGAATTACTTTCATCATCAGTTGCATATTAGCAGGTGTATTATTTCTTGCTTTGCACATGTGAATTTACTTTTTATCTCGAGTATGATGCCCAGAGCAACTTTGCTATGATTGAACCCCCAGAATAGCACTCAACAGGCAATTTCCAGCTGAGATAACTATTCTGAACGTCTATAAAATTTCCTCATAATTTGGATCAATTTAATGCGACTATTGGCCCTGTTTTTGTGTATGCTCATGAAGATGATTATGTGGTCCATCTTATTAGTGGGCCAACCATCTAGGTGTTCTATATTATTGGAAGATAAATCTGTAAATTTTATGTTACCATATGGTCAGTAAGATGGGTCTTCAAGATACTTCAAAATGGTGAAGAGCGGAAAATCTTTGGTAAATTTGTGGATAGGAAAGAAATTGGATACAGTGAAGTGTTACGTGCATATGCATCTCAAAAACATTTATGTGCATTTTATTTTAACAGTGACCGACATTGGTTGTTTCTAACTATGGATTTACATGGTCCTAATTGTCACATATAATTAACTGACGAACAGATTGTGAAAGGCATAGATGCCATCACCAGGGAACAGCTAGTGCAAGTAATGGCTCTTCTTGGGATAGGAAATGTAACCCCGGTTTTTAGTTTGGTTCCAACTCTGGGACCTATCAGGACTTCTGCACTTCTTCCTACAATAACTGAGGAAGACAAAGTCATACTGAACAATGTCCAGAAAATCATTGAATTCTTAACTGACGGAACTGTAGCTTCGTCAAATCAGGTAAATATCACGTTGCTGGTTGTACATTCATGTCCAGAAAATCATTTTCCTTTTCATAATAACAGTGAGCATGGAGATTACCTGGCTTCCAGGAAAATTGAACAACTATGATCAATTTTTAATCTTCACACTGTGTACATGAA